CATTTCTACCACCTAAACTTCAACTTTTACATGCACGCCACCTTTTTCTTTTCATGAAAAGGTGTGTTTCACCTTGCAAAAGTTAATATACAAAATATATGGGTGGCATAAATGTAAATAATAAAATTATAGGAATTTGGGTGGTATGTATGAAACGCCCCTTGAATTTATCAAAAAGTTAAAATTATGTAATTTTATGCAATTAATTATAATGTAATTACCAACTATATATATATATATATATATATACAGTCAACACACGCAATTTACAATTACAATTAAATTAAGGCTGTCATTTATGACTGTGGACGTCTGCAAATTAAAGGCTAAGTTTGGATTGGTGTGATTTTTCAAAACTAAGTCTTTGCATTAATGACTATATCCACTTGTTAAAATATTTTAAAAATCAGTCTTTTGAGGGTTTAGAAAGGAAATAATAAGCTTAATACATATCGCCTTTAGGTATTATATAAGTGATGGTTGCTTGGTGTTGAAAGGGATTCCCTCATTCTTTCCCTTCATTGAGCAATAAATAGAAACTATCATAGAGAAGGTATGTAGAATAGTAGAATATTATAAATTATATAGGAAGTTATCACATAAAGTGATTTATTTTTTGAGTGGTCGACAACGATCACTAAAGGTGATGAGGTTACAATTGAAGGCTTGAGACATTTTTTGAAGGAAAATCACTTAATAACATAGAGGTTGTTCGTTGATGAGTCGATCCATCAGAGTTGTGGAAAGCTTTTGTTCATCTTCAGAGAACATGACTCGTGAAGGAAATCATGCTCAAGTTTAAAGTGTATGTTAAGGTCCTTAATTGTAAGGGTCTTGTCCTCTCAGTTAATATTGACCTCATATATGCTGTAGAACCAAAAATCATCTTATTCAACTTAATGACCCCTGATTAATATCACCAATGCTCTTTGATAATAAGAAAAATTATAATAATTTTACTTCTATGATATTATTACACCCCTTATTTTTTGTGGTTATGGTTGAATTAATTATAATTATTTTGAAGTAAAGTCAATTAAAATGTTAATATTATATGAGTCTATATACAACAAGGAAAGCTGATCGTGCAGGGTTACTGGTTCGAACGAGATTGAAATAATACCTCGGCTGTCTAATGTAACAAAAACCTATATAAATCTTATAAAATTTTCATCATTTTAAAAATGGTATTTTTCTAGTTTTCTAAATTAGTTCGCCTACCTTGAAAAATTTCATTGCTTCTAGTTTTTTTTTTATGAATTATTAATTTCATTGCTGCTAGTTTTATGTATATGGAATGTAGTGCTTTTGAAATTATAAAGAACTCTGTCAAAAAGGCTTAAACTTTCTACGGAGAGCTTCGAATGCATTTTTTTCATTATATAGAAGATTTAGCACTTCATATTGCCAATATCAGAATAATTAGCATTTTGTTGATATCAGAACAATTATGATAGAGATTAATCAATTTGTGAGACCAAATCGAACGACTGAAGAATGTGATACAATTGAAGATTGTGATGCTCCCATAATTCAAGTGCCCTTATATGAAGAAAATGTTATCCCAGGTGTATTATATGGAGGAATGATAATTTCAAGTAACGATGCCTTGTAATTTGTTTTGAATGAATGGTTGATAATTAATAATGTTGAGTATATCAGAACAACTTCAAATAAAAAAAAAACTTATAGTTCAGCACAATCATGAATCCCTTCTATGTCAATGGCGTCTACACACTTTGAGAAGTCAGCGATTCGGAGGTGCATGGCAAATTTTATTAATTGAAGCATCACATACATTTAGCCGCCTAATAATATCAACTGGATAGCGAAATTGTACTTCAAAGTTCATATGTCATTACGTCGATTCAATTTAAGGCAACAATTTGACCTAAAACCCAATTAAATTGTTGCTCGGTTAAGTTTTAATGTCTGTTTATGTTATATCAAAGTATGGGAAACACGTAGAAAAGCAATAAAACTAATTTTAGGCAATTTTGAGGAGTTATATTGCTCCTTATTTGAATTAATGGAAGCAATACACAGTGTGATTTCAGACATAGTATATAAAATTAATGTGAAAAATAATACTCGCTTTTATATTATCTTTTGATCATTTTACCCAAGTATATATGGGTGCAAATTTTGTCGATCTATGCTTAGTATGGATAAGATGTTCCTTTTAGGTAAGTATAGAGGGACTCTGCTAGCTTTAGTAGGAATTGACAAAAATGGTGGACTCTTTCCATTTCCATTTGCTATTGTTGAGTCCGAGAACACTGAGACATGGGTATGATTTTTACAACAACCCTATGCTCTTCTGCAAGTTGTCTGGACTTGTCAGGATCTGTGCATTATATCAAATAGGAGGCATGATGGTTTGATTCGTGGATGTAGAGAGATTTTCCCATGGGCTGCACGTCGGCACTATTTGCGTCACCTACGAATAATTTTAATGCATTAAGACATCTTGCAGTGGAGGGTGTCGGCCATGTCCGTGATAAAATGTACTGGGCAGGAAATATTGATAATCTCAGGACATTTAATAGACACTTGAATGTTATTAAACAAAATAAGGAGGCATACGGTTGGTTAATTGAGAAAGATATCACAAAATGAGCTTTAACACACAATGGTGGATCCTGATTTGGCACAACGAGTAAAGATGCATCGGAATGTTTCAATGTGGTTCTGAGACGTGCATGAGGAATCCCAATTTAAGGCCTCATGTGTGATATATATTCTAATTTGGTAGCCTTATTCTTAAAACGATCCATCAATGCGCCACAATGGATTGAAGCCTGGAGTTCTATCTTTGTTCCACGCATAAGTTCAACTCTAAAAGGAAATGAACTTGAGGCCCGTTAGTTTTCCCAACCGAATTGCATAAATTATCTTGGATATTAGGTATATGATAAAACTTGTTGGGCATTTCATGTTGAAATTCTTTTTTTTTTTCGGAAAATTGTTCATGCTCATCCAATAAGCCATAAATCTTTCACATACCTTGTGTACATGTGATTGTGGCATTGGGTGCAATGCGGTCAGACCACAAAACTTTTGTTTCAAAATATTTCACGTTAAATTTCTATCAATGCGCATATAAAACATTATTTCATATGATACCTGAGAAAGTGCAACGGCCAGTTTAATCAACAAGTAGGTATTATCACTTTACTTCCCACTCTATTTAGAGGAAGTTTTGGTCGTCTAAGGACAAGTAGGATAAGAAACACAATGAAAGAAACGAGAACTGCAAGCACAAGAAAGTGTGGTTTTTTGTAAAAATACGGGGTAGAATTGAGCAACATGCCCTTACAATCCAAACACTATAAGGTTATAGTAAAATAGTGTAATTAGCATAAATTTTAACTTTACATTGCTTTTATGTAGATTTCTTAGTAAAAAATTTGTCGTTCTGTTTAGTCACACTATGATCACTTTAGTAAAAATGATTGAGGCAGTAGGTTCGGAAGGCCACCGCCACCATGCTAGAATTTCCACTTTGAAACGAACATTCCTACCTCCAAGTATTGCATCATTTGGTGAAGAACAACGTGTAGCAAGAGCTGATAATGTAAGAACGTAAATTATTTTTCATTCTAGTTAATTTCATGTGAATAATTATCAAAACTAATTTAATTTAATTTTTATAGGATAAGATTCTGGAAGCTGCCAATCATGCGCTAGTGCTAAGAGAAAGGCGGATCGAGCACCCACGATTCCTCTATGAAATAAAAATTGTAGGATTTGAATGCATCAGACACTTAATTTACATCAAACTAGGCCATAATTTTATAACTGCACTGGTCGAGAGGCGGTGCCCCACAACCAAGACGTTCTATTTGTCTGTTGGTAAGAAAAAATTAGTTTCACATTTATATATTAGTTTAATAAGTTCACTTTTTTTTTTTTTTTTACTCATACATTGTACAAATCTATCAGATGGGATGACTGTAACTCTACAAAAAGTTCAAATACTCCTCGTTATAAGGATAGATGGAAATGTCGTAGTAGACTTAACGTTGTTAGCCAGGGTTGCGCTGGCCAATTTGGCTGGCATATTTTGATGACATGTTGGGTAACCATCCCAGAGATGACATTATATATCACCACCATAACGTTACATAAAAATTCTATATAGGATGGTCTCATGCACATGCTATTGTCTCATTGCATTGGCTTCACTAGCAGTTTTATAGGAATTCTTATGTGGATTTAACACCACGTAAATTTTTGTGTCAAGTTAGGATCTACATCATGGGTATTTATTTAATTTTTTTGTGTGCTTCAATTGCTTAAAAGGGAATTTTTAGGTGCTCAGAAATCATATAATTTGGCCAAAAATATATCATTTCCCAAAGTCATATATTCATAAATAACACTTAATCCAATCCCATACACTACAATAATTAATCATCTAGGCAAAATGACGCCAAAACCTACCAACGCCTCTCACACCAAAATAAATTATTAGGCTGAAATTTATATATATATATATATATATATATATATATTTGGTCTAGTGGGCACCAAATACTGATTCTCCCAAAGGGTTGAAAACCCTGGTGTGCTTGCTTCTGATTCGAAGAGCCCGCGCCACGGGATTCGAACCCCAACCCGAGAGACTTACGCCAGAGGCCGCATGCACACAAGCCGAAAATGATACATATATATATATATATATATATATTGTCTTATTAAGAAAAATATTAAAAGGCTAAACATTGATTACAAAACATTTGACTTGCTCCATAAGGAAGCGAGTGTGGGGCACCCATAATGATGTTCATTTTTTTTTTTCATTTAGTAAGAATATTATATCAATTTTGATTAATATGAACCTTAAAATTATTATTATTTTTAAAATGAGTATGAAAGAAAAGTGATAAATTGAAATTTATCTAAAACTCATTTTAAAATAAATTGAATAATTTTTAGATTCATCTTAATAAAAAAATATAAATCAGAATATTAAAAATCAAAAAAAAAAATTTCCCCTATACTAAATTACTTAAAAAAAGACGGAGTAGATGTGATAGCCAAAATATAAGAAGGATGGGGATTGCCGGCCACATGTGTTCTTTAATGGCTTCACTCGTGTCCACTACACCCATAAACACCATCGTGTCATTTATTAATGGTATCCCTCCGGCTCTTGGAATATTCTCCCCTGCTTTTTTGCTGCAATCAGAACAAAAAATATAACAAAATTAAAAAAAAATTCATAACAAATTTTAAATCTTAATCACAATATATATATATTGGCTTTATTGGCTTTAAGAAGATGATACTCAAATTATTAGACATATTAGGGACAACTGGAGACTCATACAATAAGCCTTTGGTCATTCCTTTTAATATATATATATATATATATAAATACACACACGTATGTACATACATATATACATACGTGTGTGTGTGTAGACACACACATACACACACACATATACTAGTCTATATATATACACTATTTTTTATCAAGTATGATAACAAAAATAGAAGATTATAACAGTCGATAATAAACATAAAAATTTTGTTGAAAAAATTTACGAAATAAATTATTTAAATTATTTATAATAATATTTAAATTTAATTACAAAATATTCTTTTCTGCTTAAAATTTAAGAAAATGAGGTATAATTCTATGCAATGAATATGTATAACGAGCCTATCACATGTGACAATAAATAACAAAATTTAATGCATGAAGCAACCAACATACATAAGATAATGTAGGGTCTATGAAAGAGTTGATTTTATGAACTGATATAGTACAGTGATAATCGCGACATAACCACTGCTTGGGGCCCACATGACTCAACATGATGTGCTTATTAATGAGAGTCTTCAGCTACTATTATTAATCAAGTGCTCATAAGTAGGGGTGTGAACGAGCTAAACACGAGCGGGCTCAGGTTTAGCTAATGTTCGGCTCGTTTGCTTAGAGAGCCGAACACGAACTGTTCATGAATAAAAAGTCGTTTTGACAATTTTAATCACGTAGCCATAAGATGTTAAGAATTGGGGGCAAGATTTTAAAATTATTCTTTATATTAAAACATCATTTGAATCTAATTTAATAATTTTTATTATATTTTCTTAATTAATACTTTTGACTTATTATTAGCCTTGTAGATAATTTAATTTTTTCAAAATAATACTCACGAATATATATATATACATTGATGAGTAATATTTCGAGTCAAAACGAGTTGAACACAACTTTGTTTGCGTTTAACTCATTAACTTAGTGAACAGGCCCAACACTAACGAGCCGAACTAGAACTGTTAGCGAATCTCTAGTCGTTTGGACAGCCCTACTAATTTAATTTATGTTTGAACCGCGAGGGAAAACAAAATGTAACAATTACAAGACTTAATAAATTCAAGAACTAAAAATAGATTTATAAAAATAATTAGAAAATATTTTGACATTTCACTTTAATATAAAATAACCCCTGAAAAGTTGGAAATCCAGCAAAAAAGCTAATAAATCCTACGTGCGAATTACTGGGTTTCCAGTAAGCACTGATAAAAAAACAGAGTAAAGTTAGCAGAGAAGAAAAGGTAGAGTTTTTCTGTACCTGGTTGTGGTAGGACAGAAACTGATCTCATAATCCGTTCCCATCTCGCAGGTGAATGTAGAGCTCGCATCGTCATAGGCATAACTGTAAGCTCTAGGGCAAGCATTCTTGAAAAACTCAGAGTAAGACGACGGCTTGCAGGTGTTAGGGTTTCCATACTCCCCGCTGCAACAAAACTCCGGCTTTCCGAACGCCTCGCACGCACTCCGGCAAGCCACGCTCTTTCCATCCTCCTCGGTGGCGGAGACTCGAAGCTCCGACGGGCAGAGCCCGTTGAGATCAACGGCGCACCCGGTGGCACTGCATTTTCCGGCGGCGGAGCTTTTAGGGACGATGAGAATGGGGAGATTGTAGCCGTCGACAAGACTGACGTCGAAGAAATCCAACCCGCCGCTGCCGGCGAGGGTGAACTCGGCAAGTGTGGCGGGTGGGGTGGCGCCGCCAGAGCAGGCGAGGGTGCCGGAGTTGCAGTCACCGGTGGCGCAGGAGAATTGGGATGTGGAGGGGTTGGTGGAGCAGAGAGTGCGGCCCCAGAGACGGCCGGACCAGGAAGACGGCATGGAGAGGGAGCGAGATTCGCCTTGGGCGAGGGAGAAGCCGGTGGTTGAGGCCGGGGGGGCGGTCGAGCGAGATTCGCCTTGGGAGAGGGAGAAGCCGGTGGTTGAGGCCGGGGGCGTGCCCGCGCCGGAGAGGATGCCTGGCCAGACGGTGTAGCCGCAGTTGTTGGTGATGGTGAAGGTTGTGGAGATTGATACTGTAAATGCATAAAAAAGACAATTTTGTTAGAGGATGAAGCAGGGGAAAGCAGGGGAAAGCAGGGGAGGATTCTCACCGGGAGAGAGGAGGGAGAGGAGGGCGAGGAGAAGGTGAATTATTGGGGATGCGGAGGAGGAGGAAGCCATTGTTGTGCTTCGAAGGAAATGGGAAGAAGGGAAGTGGGAGGAGATTGGGGATTTATAGAGGGAGATTATGTTAGGAAGGAGAAGGGAAATGGGGCTGCGTGCTCCTTGCTGCTTGTGAGCAATTGAGCTTGAACACTGTTATGTGGGGTTACAGCACATACGTTGTGGATAATTTGTATTTATAGCTTTTAATTTTAAAATAAAAATATAATATTTAGATATGCCGGCAGTTTCTTGATGCATAAATATTTTCATTAATAACAGTTATTAATTAACGCACTTTTCTCAAGTAAGGAGTGCTGAAAAATAACAGAGCGCAAATAATTGATGGTTTGCTGGCAAAACAATTATATCAAATTTGTATAGGATGATGACAAAGACCAAATGAAAGGGTATCGATATGGTAATTCTCATCCAATTACTTCAACACTAGCAACAACCTAAAAGGAGAAGAGATACTCCATACTCACACATTTAGAAGCTACCTAGCAAACTCAATAGATCTGATGCACTATTGATGTCAAAAAGCATTCAAGGTTCTTTTTGAGGTTTGCAGAAAAAAAAAGCTGAGTAGTCCTCATCCTTATTTTTTTTTTGTTTTTGTTTTTAAGCATGAAATAACATGTGGGATAACATGAAATAACAACTAAAATATAAGATAACATGTGGAACATTAAACAATATATGGAACATGAAACAACGAATGAAATAGGATATATTTTTAGCTTTGGATTAGACTTGGGTTAAGGTCAGGCTGAGGTAATTTGATTTTTTAACTTTGGTCAGCTCAAAACTGAGCTGAGGTATGATATGGGTTTGTTAATTTGGGTATGGGATAGATGTAAGCTATCTCAAATTAAGTTGGGTTTGAATTAGATTGGCCCGGGTTAAGCTAGGTTGATTTGGGTTGAGCTGGATTAAGCTAGGTTAACTTATGTTAACTTAGGCTTGATTTGGGTTAGACTTGGGTTAAGCTGTATTAATCTGGATTAGATTTAGGTTGATTTAGTTTGACTCGTGTTAAGCGGGGTTGACCCGGGAAAGCTTAGGTTTGATTTGGGTTTGACCCAGGTTAGGATGGGTTGACTTGGGTTAGACTGGGTTGATCCACGTTGTGCTTTGTTTAGTTTGGGTTAGACCCGGGTTAGCTTATGTTTGATTTGGTTTTGACCTGGATTAAGCTAAGTTAGTCTGGGTTGGCTTATGATGAATTAGGTTTGAACTGGTTTAACATAGGTTAGCCCTCGTTGGCTTAGGTTGAATTAGGTTTGACCCAGATTAAGCTGGGCCAGCTTAACCCAAGTTGGCTTAAGTTGAATTAGATTTGACCTGGTTTATGCTGGGTTTGCCCGAATTGGCTCAGGTTGGGTTGTGTTTGGGTCTGATTAGGGTTAGACCTGGATTAAGTTAGGGTTAAGTCTGGTTTGGGGCAGACCTAGGTTTGGTTGGGATTTAGGTCAGGCCTAATTTGGGTCAGACTAGGTTGAAATTTAGGTTAGGTTTTTATTGGGGTCAGACCTGAGTTAGGTTTTTGTTAAGGTCAAGTCTGATTTGGGTCAAACCTGGTTTAGGTTTAGGATAAAGTCTGAGCTAGATCTGAGTTATGTTAGTTCTAGTGTTTAGATTTGAGCTAGGCCGAAGTTCGGTTAGGTCTAGTATTTAGGTTTGAACTAGATTTGGATTAGGATAGGTTTAGTGTTTGGTTAGGTTTAGCTAGTGAATTTGGACTAGACCTGGGTTGGGCCAGGTGTGGTATTCAGGTTTGGCTAAGTTTAAGTTAGGTTCAGGTTAGAGCTTGGGCTAGACCAGGGTTAGGTCAGGTCTAGGGTAGATTTATGTTAGGATTTGGGTTACACTTGGGTTGGGTCAGGTTTAGGGTTGAGGTTTGGTTTAGGTTAGGATTTGGGTTAGACATGGATTGGGTCATGGGTTTAGGTTAAGTTTATGTTAGTGTTCAGGCTAGACTTGCGTTGGGACAGGTCTAGGGGTTTTGGCTAGGGTTTGGGTTAGACCTAGGTTAGGTTAGGTCTAGGGTTTAGGTTAAGTTCGGGTTAATTGACTTTGGAGAAGGTTGGGTTCAGGTCGACTTAACTCAAACCAGAACCATGCTTAATCCAAGGCTTTTGGGTTGATTAATCTAGCCTAAAGCTAATTTGGAATTTAATAAAAAAATCAATGTTTAATTAAGAAAAAAAACTATGTAGGAGACATACTGGAGAAGGAGGCTTCAACTAAGGAGGAGGAGGCTTGCCAGAGAATTGCTTCTCTTCTTCTTCTTCCTCTGCTCGGAGTAAATGCAATAGAGTTTGAGTGTTTGAGAGTGCCTTCACCCTTCAGTAAGCTGCCTATTTGTAGGCCCAAAGGCAGTGGCTGAGCACTCCAGATTCATCTGTTTGGGATGTGGGTTGACGACGAAGATCCATCGGACGACTAGTGAGCCACAAATTCGCACTGGCCAAACAATGCAACGATTCATGGCCCAATCTAGGGACGAAGGCCATGGAACGCTAACATGTGAAGATGGTTTACTTGGGTGTGGTCATGCAAGGCCTGGTGTGACCACGTTGAGGAACCTTTGGGCATGTTCATACCTAGGCCATGTGTGACCACACTGAGATACTTTGAGGCATGATCACGCCCAGGCCTGACATGACCACACAAGGTCAAAAAAACGCAGGCTAATTTTTTGGAACAAGAATGAAAACAACAAGAACATTGAAGTGTGGGTAGAAGACAAGTGTATGTTTTGATGGGTCACTGTCCCTGGCCCCATTCTAAGGATCTAGGGATTTTAAAGGGTATCACTAAATGCTAGTTTTATATAAAAGATATCTTTTAAGAGATTTGACCACATGTATGGTTTAACCTAAGGATGCAAGTTGTTTAAAGATAGACTTTGAAAATATGATGTAAATGTAATAAAAATATAAATTTTTATTTTTTTTAAATAGGTCCTAGAAAAGAAAAAGCCTAGGCGGCACCTATTAGACCCCTTGGAACGTTAACACAACATACACGTGCTAGTCATGGTCAGTAGCTAGTATTGCCCACCAAGGCTTTCTCTCAGGAAATACTCGCTACCACGTTGTGACCAACAAATGGTCAATTAGCTAACGAGATTGGTCTGTCATCAAGACAAATGAGAATGCACATACAAATGCAAAATGACTAGTGCATTATGACTACTCCATCAGAGTAGGAGTGACCATGAGATAACAAACATTCGTCATGATTATAGGTATCATATACCATGAAGAATGCACCAAGAATACGAAAATGCAAGTGAAATGCTCAAGACATGACTCACATATTACATACCAAGTAGTGTAATGAGCAATATGACTTGTGTATCAAATGGATTCAGATACCAAGATAGTGTAATTAGATGGTAGCCATGTGCCCAAGTGGACACATATCATGCATTTGGACAATTCAGGGGCCTTTGGAGCACGATCCTTACCAAATGACATGATGTGACAAACCTATAGTACAAGCATGAGATGCAATAGGAAAAGAGGTGATGTAATTCTCGATAGAGAGAATTACACATAGGATAAGCTTGATGTGCAAGACATCCCCAAAGAGGACATACACTTGTTTGAGGTGAGTGTGTAATAACAATGACCAAAGAAATGCTTATGACAGTCTGAAGTGGTGCTGGAAGAAACAATTGCACATGAAGCCTACCCTATGTGTAATTCTCACTTAAGACAATTACACACAGGGTTGGCTTCATGTGCAAATCGTTCTTGACGGGGACCTGTGGGGGCCTAGAGTAAGTGTGTGAGAACAGTTACTTAGAAAGATCTCAAGCATTCAATTCGTGAACATACGTGATGATATGCAGGCAAGCATGTAAGTGTAATTTTAAGTGCAAACACTAGTGACATGATGCACAATGACATAAGGATGCCACGAAACAAAGGTGTAGAGTAATGACATAAGGAGGCACAAATAATCATTAGGAGCATATAAGGACATATGCTGACAAGTGCATTATAGGATGCAAGTGTGCATGTGCTAATGCAGGCAGTGTGAGAAAGCAAGAATGCAGTAATCCAATATTCAATAAAATAATTGGTCGATACGATCGGCCTAAGGGAGGCCAATCGATCGATTCAACGGAAAATGTCAATCGAGACGATGAACGAAGGGATGTTCTATTAATGTTATCAAACTGATGGAGATGGATCAATCAAGTCGACAGAAAAATATCAATCAGGGCGATCGGGCTGGTGGCGGCCGATCGACTGAGTCAACCAAAAATGCCTATTGGGCCGACATGGGTGGTTGATCGACGAATGATAGTTGATCGATGCAATTAAACTGGTGGCGTTCAATCGGTTAAGTCGACAAAAAAATGTCTAAGGGGACAATTGGGTCAGTGACAACTAGTTCACCAAGTTGACGTAAAGAGTCACCCAGACTAACGTGGGTGGTCGATCGACAAAGGATGGTCAATTGATGCGATCAATTTGTTGGTAGTCAATCGATCAAATCAACATGGAGTTGATCAGGCCTGTGGCGGCCGATCGACCGAGTTGACTAAGATTTTTGATTGGGCAGTTGTGGGTAGCCAATTGACAAAGGGTGGTTAATTAGGGCGATCAAACTGGTGGCAATCAATCAATCAAGCGACAAAAAAATGTCGACCAGGGTGATTGAGCCGATGACAGACGATCGATTAAGTCGATGGAAAGCATCGATCAGACTGATATGGGTGACTGATCGACGAAGTATGATCAATTTTCATGATTAAACCAGTGTCAGATGATCGATCAAATTAACGGTAAAGAGTTGATCTGGACGATCAGGAAGGTGGCGGCAAATCGACAAAGCCGACATAAAGTGTCAATCAATACAAACAGTCCAGTGGTGACCGATTGATCGATTCTAGGAGAGATAATCGATCCCACCGACGTAGTTAGCTGATCGTTCCCAAATGCAAAAATGGATATTTTAATGCATTTGAAAAACTCATGCAATGCATTACATGAATGCAAGGGCATGCAAGAAAATAAAGACCAACCATTGTCAACGGCAATGCATACTTTCTCTAGCAATCTCACATAGGAACTTAAGGATTGATAAAGTCGTAGATACCAACCGTCACTCATCCTAATAGAGGCTCTTT